GGGAATAACTCTCATTTGGTCGAATAATCAACGTTGCAAAAGTTATATCATACTGATCATTGCAGTGATTCATGAAATCCAAACATAGAGAGATATTGAGCGTGCAGAAACCCTGTTTTTGCCGACAAATTGCTTAGGTCTCAAAGATTTAGCGAAACAATTTTGATGGTAATATATTCGATGCTTGCTATATTGCCCCCAGAAATAGTTCTGCATCGGAAAATACGAAGTCTTGGTGTGCTAATGAAATATGCAAACGCAATTGCAAAACGAATGATAAATACTTGAATATAGGACTGATTTTAAATTGATGGTGCTTCTGATTACTAAACAGCTGTCTTTATTATGAGAAGTCATTAAGAAAGTAATTTAGTACGAAACTTCCAAACTACAGTACGTTTCAGAGATTCACTACGAAGCTTTCTTTGCTGTGAAACCTGGAGGGATTTTTATACGCAACCTATGCGATTACGAAACTTTTAGTGAGATTTCGTGCATTTTTACCATAGTCTAAAGGTATAGGAAAGCACCGCGAAACTTCAGAAAATTTGTTTGGTACCTTTTTTCAGTGTAGTTCAAGCGAGTTGCACTAAATCCATCTCTTTAAAAAGGGGTTCAGCATTAAACAAAATGGTGCAAGAGAGAATTATTCTAAACAGTTGGAACATTTTTTTTATGTGGAATGGTCCTTTAAATTTTCTAGAAACTTTGACGGTTTAATGATAACCACATGGAATCTTAAAAAGTTCAGCATCTCCGCTAATATCTTCAATGGTTTTCTATGATACATTTTTCTTAAGAGGATATCTTTCATGAAAATTTACTTATGTCTAACCTTGGTGATTGTTGGATCGAAATGACGAACAGATTACTGCCGTTTTGGAGAAATATATTGAACGTACACTTGTTTATGTTTGCTACGTAGTGAGAGACGTAAATCAATAATTTTTGTCATTTGTTTACAGAGTTAAGTATCCTTTATAAGTTACTCGAGTTTAATTTTTTTTCTTTCTTTCTTACCTGTAACACACATGAATAATTTCGTCATTGGCTTTTTTTCCCCTATCTTAAACTCGAAAGAGAAGCAATCATTTTGATCATCATCATTTTGATTGACAGATCATTATCAGTTATGCGTCGTTTCATTTGAGTGAGTTGAGTATGAAAATATCAACAAGTTGAGAGAAGAAGAAACAAAGGCAATCTGCTATTCAACACTCACGAGAATATTCAGCTCTACAAATCCTGAAAGTTTCATATTTCCCGATGGTACTCTTGCCTAACATGAACCCAGTACAGAGATGATTATTTCCTCGATTGAAAGGAGAGTCACACGATATAAAATAAAATGCGTTTGTGTGTTAGTATATTTGCAGGCATGTTTAAAGTCACGTGTCCATTTGTATTACTATAAGTTTAGGATATCTATTCAAAGTAATGACTATACAGTGCTATATCTTACTCTGGTCTACTTAGCCCGATGTAGATAGTAATGCAATCTGCCTTACCCATGCACAACTCTAATGTGAATATCTCTATCAATTTTTGACGGTTTGGTTAGAGTATTTTTTTTCAAACTATCGTTTGTCTCATTTTTAAAAAAAGTCCCAAAAAAAAATCTCGAAAAAAATTATTGCTAAACCATGTCCAGAAAACAATAATATATTATTATATCATACAAAAACTATGACTTTAAAGCAATTGTCTTCCGCTATTTCAACATGGCGTCGTCCTTTGACAAAATCTAATAAAAAACCGAGCATGCCTATTTCTAGCCCAAGGAGAAAACTACGTAGATCGATTGCATGAATAATTCTTGACATGCTATAAAAGCACTCAAAAAACATCATGCATCTTCTCCGTTATTCATATTTAGAGGATATTCAATTCGACTTTATCGTAATGTTGATGAAGTCCAATACTAATTCATTAGAGTTTCCTTCACTTAAACTTTTCTCATTGTATCAAAAGATAAGCAAAAGTCATTCGAATAATCGAAGAAACAGATTGATCTCTATCAAATCCTCTGTGTGGCAGGTACTGGTGATGTTGTTGCTCTTTCATTTGAAAAGATCTTCTGTGATGATTTTCATGAACTAATGAATCAATAGTCTTGCTTCGATGTTCTCATCATAAAAGAGAAAATCGATCTGCCTCTCGTGTCGAGTAACCTCTCAATAAGAATTAGCTTCTAGGTATATGTGCAAGATATGGCATTGAGTTGAGAACGATGTTCATCGAAGATGTTCATAGTCGAATTATCGCAAGAAATCTACTTCTAGCATTAGATTGTCATTGTTACTGAACGTCAGCATGAATGTCTCGTAGAATCATTGCTTTGAGAATTCAAGATTTCAATCTACAATTGACTGAAAATAATTTTTGGAAAAATTTAGGCGTGTTTCGACATACTGACGGAAGTGATTCAAGTAAATGAATAATATTTTTCAAGTATTAAAAAATATCATTTTTATGTCGATTGGTGCTGTCATTACTATTGCTCACATCATTCTTTCATAATAAATTGTGTTATGATGAAATCTTTTTTTCACTTAGGAGCACATGAGCGTGACAAGCGATGACGCACTGTTTCTTTCTTTTTGAAAGCAATCCAACGACGTTAATGCATAAACGAAAAAGAAAAATAATGAATCATGGATGGTTACACTCACTTCATAAGAGGGGTCGTAACTAATGAACTGTGTTTAAATGCAAATTTTTACTCTGAAGAGGAACGTTTTACGTTCGAATCGTCAGTTATTGTATTTTATATATTATATGTAATAAACAAAGGAAGGGAAAAAATTATTTTTAAAAAATTCATACAACTTTCTTGAATCATATTCACAACATGCATGGGTATGTGTTTATGGTGTAGATGAAGAAAAGACTTACAGCCACAGCTGCCGACGTACTCACATCCACATCCACTCTCATATATCTGTAGATGTTGATTCAGCTATTTGATGCACATGATTAACCTCTATAGATTAGCCAGTGAGTAGATAGAAAGAAAAATCATAGACAACAAACCAAGTGAGAAAGAGAATGTGCTATTCGCACGTTGACAATCAATCAGTCATTATGGAGATTCCATTGCAGGAAAAGAAGATCCATTCTCCTTTCGTTTCGTATCACTTTGAGACCTTGATGAAGTTGTTTCATAACTGTGTGATTAGTATTGATTTGCCTGTTGTCGGAATCGTTATGTATGCATTTTTCAAATTTTCATTGCTGATGCAGCGATTCTACAGTAAGTTCATGTTTGTGCTCTCTCGAGAGTATTATTGTTGGCAAGTACCCATCGTATCGGACAACTATTGGCCATTGAGTTATCATTGTAAAAGATTGTACGTTAAATATGGAATATCTTGTATCATCTGCAAGATATCTCATGTTATCTATATGTGCCGATTATATTGAAGACTCGTTTTACACTCATGGACGCTTATCACAGAGTGTAAGTGTGAGTCTT